ACCTGAACACACCTCTCAGCATTGGACAGATCATCTAGGCAACAAATCAACAGAGTAATCGTTACTCTTTCAGAGAGAGAGAAGAAATCTTGGGTTATCAGTGGTGGGAGGGGGGAGGAAGAGGGTGATAGGGAGAGATTGGACAAGGGGCATAAAGAGTAATTATGATTTGTAACAATATATATGCTAGTAATATTGATTTGATCAACATATATCAACATTGAGCCCTCAAAGTATGTATAATCAATTATGATTCAATACAAATTAAAAACAAAAGTTAACGGAAAAATAGAATTAAAAGATAATACAAATCTTTTCATGAACTTTTTGAAGTACCCTTGTATACGGACAGGTTCTTCTGCAGTGTCCTTGCTCATTTTCTGAGTGACTCTGCTTCTAGTGGAATATTGTTTACTAAGGTTCCTGCATAGTTATTTTCAGTTCAATTAGTTCTGGAGTAGACAAACATTTCAGGTTAATGAAAGGGTTTTTGACTTGCATTGTATTCAGGTGCATACCCTGTTTACCCGATGGGTCTAGGGACCCTAGGATTCAATGCCTTTTTTTTTCTCCTGGTGTTTAACATTTTGACATGAACTTATTTGGTATAGCACTGATCTTTGGTTAAAGTTCATTGATTTAGGGGAGATGTGAGTGTCCTTTCAGCTCACAAGGCTGCAAATATTATTGATGGTCTAAAAGTAACTCAATCTTTAAACTAAAAGTAAATGTCAACCAGCTCTTCCTCTGTTAGGGGCTGAATTGTAGCTAGCCTAAATTCATATGCCGAAGTGTCCTCAGTACCTCAGAATATGAATGTATGTAAAGATAGGGTCTTTTTTAAAAAAACAAAAACAAAAAAACCCAAAACACAAAACTTTTAAAAAGTTATATGTATTTAATGTTTACAACATGATGTTTTGAAATACATATACATAGTAAAGTAGTTACTACATTAAAGCAAATTAACATATTTATCTCCTCACATAGTTATCTTTCTGTGGGTGGTGAGAACACCTGAAATCTACTCTCAGCAAATTTCAAGTATACCATACAGTGTTATCAACTCTAATCATCATGATGTACATTGGATCCCTAGCAACTTTGTACCCTTTGACCAACATCTCCCCATTTCCCCATCTCCCCTCCTGTGGTACTACTCTCTGTTTCTGTGTATTTGACTTTTTTAGATTCTATGTATAAGTGAGATCATTATTTTTCTTTCTGTGTCTGGCTTATTTCATTTATTATAATGTCCTCCAGGTTCATTCATGTTGTCACAATGGGCAGGGTCTTCTTTTATTTTATTTTATTTTTTAATTTTTTAATTTTTTAATTTTTTAAAAGATGACCGGTAAGGGGATCTTAACCCTTGACTTGGTGTTGTCAGCACCACGCTCACCCAGTGAGCAAACCGGCCATCACTATATGGGATCCGAACCTGCGGCCTTGGTGTTATCAGCACCACACTCTCCCGAGTGAGCCACAGGCAAGCCCAGGACTTGTGTGTGTGTATCACAATTTCTTTATCCATTCCTCTGTAGTGGGCATTTAGGTTGTTTCCATATCTTGGCTATTGTGAATAATGCTTTAATTAAGTTAGAATGAGGTCATTTGGGTGGGCCCGGATACAATATGACTGGTATCCCTGTAAGAAGAGGAGATTAGCACACAGGCAGGCACAGAGGGAAGATGATGTAAAGACAGAGGGAGAAGATGACCATCTACACACCAAAGAGAGAGGCCTCAGAAGAAACTAACCCTGCCGACACCTTGATCTCAAACTTCTAGCCTCCAGAATTATAAGAAAATAAATTGTTGTGCAAATAAAAAAATAAAGTGTCAAAATACATTTACTTGATCTCCTGTTGTAATGATCTTTATCTAACATAGATTACATAAAGAAATGTTTTATTTGTTCTAAAAATATTGCCTGTTACTTTCATTGAGTATCACCTTGTCATATTGTAGATCATGGGATTTACTATGCTATAAAAGCCCCTTCCAGTATTATACATGTGTTGGCTTAAATAGTTTTCTATTTTAGTGATTTATGGTGTCATTATCTTGACATAGGAGTAATTTAATTACTATAAAAATGTTTTTGCCTTTTGGACTTTAATTGGGCAAGATCCAAGACAATTTGTAATATCTACATTTACATTTTTAAAAATTTACTTTGCTCTGTTGAGTAGTTTTTCTTCCTGATGACCACAGTTGACAGATAATAAGATTTTATTTTTGGTAAAGGCTTTTAAACAATTCATCTTTTTTTTTTTTAATTGAAACCTTCAAAGAGAGGCTAACTTTTCTGATACTCTGTTTAAAAGAAAACCTTCTAAACCTTTGACATAGTATATAAGTTTTAAACAGATATTTTGCCTAAACAGAAATTCTGGCTGCTGTTGATTCTGGGAAATGTAGTTTCCCATCTGTTTCATATGGGAAGGTATCTTAGAAGCAAGTTTGAATCGATATTTGAGGCCAGTTTACTATATTCTCCACAAGCAGAGGTGTTAAGAGTTCAGAGTCTATAGTCAGACAGCCTGGATCTTAACCCTGGCTTTACCTCTTGTATTAGTCTGTTTCTGTGGCTTATAACAGAATACTTGAAATGAAATTTATTTCTTACAGTTTCAGAAGCTGGGAAGTCCAAAGTCCAGAGAGTGTGTTTGGTGAGGGCCTTGTTCTTGGTGGTGACTCTACAGCAATGCAGGGTGTCAAATGGCAAGAATGGACTGAGCAAGAGCACTAACCTGCTCTCTTGCTCTCCTTTTAAAGCCGTCAGAACTATGCCCATTACTCCATGAATGGATCAATCTATTCACAAGGGCACAGTCCTCACAATCTAATCATCTCTTAAAGCCTCACCTTTCAATTACCGTAATAGGATTTCCCACCCTCCTAACATGGTTTCAGTGGGGATTAAGTTTCCAATACATGAACTTTTGAGGGACACGTTTGACCCATAGGACCTCTTACTAGCTCGCTTACATTGGACAAATTACTTAACCACCCTGTGCCCTGTTTCCTCTCTCACATAACAGGTATTTATCCCATAGGGTTGTCTGAGGATTGAGGAAGAGTGTGGTAAAATTTGCATTAATTCTGACAGACATTTGGTGTAATTTTCTGGTGAGCAGTCTGGGCCTGGAGTTTTCTTTGTGGTAAGATTTTTATTTATGAATTCAATTTTAAAAATAGTTTAGGACTATTTACATTTTCCATGTCTTATGTCAATTTTGGGTTGCATTTTTCTAGGAATTTGTCTATTTTGTCTAAATTTTCAAAGTTAGTTTTCATAATATCTCTTTACTGTTATTTTATTTATTTATTTATTTTTGTCTTTTTTGTGACTGGTAAGGGGATCGCAACCCTTGGCTTGGTGTCGCCCACACTGCGCTCACTGGCTGAGCACACCGGCCATTCCTATATAGGATCCGAACCCGCGGCGGGAGTGTCGCTGCACTCCTAGCACTGCGCTCTCCTGAGTGTGCCACGGGTCGGCTCTTTACTGTTATTTTTTAATGCCTACAGGATCTGCAGTGTTCTACCTATATCACATTGATTTATACCTCTGTCTTTTTTCTTATTGATCTTCTCAAGGATTTATCACTTTTATGAATCTTTTCAAAGAAATAACTATAGTGTTGTTTCTTCTCTCACCTATGTATTTGTTTTTTATTTCATTAACTTCAATTCTTTTGAGGACCTAATTCTTCTTTTTCTAATATTTGCAATAGATGCTTAGCTTACCAAATTTTGGTGTTTTATAAATTTGTCTCTAAGCTTGTGTTTAGCTGCATTTCATATATTTTGAAATATATTCTTATTATCATTCAGTTTTAAATACTTTATAATTTTCATTGCATGTTCTTTTTTGGTTCATAGATTATTTAAAAGTATATTGCTTTAATTCCAAATATATTTAGCTTTTCAGATATCTTTTTATTTTTTGTCTGTTTACAAGTAAGATGTCTTGTATCTTTAAAGACTTTCTATCATGGGAAGTGTCAAACATATACAAAACTGGAGAGAATAGTATACTAATAAAATAATCACTGAGGTATCCTTAAGCTTTAACAGTTTTTAACTTATGACCATCTTTGTTTCATCTCTATTTTCCCATTACTTCCTCTCCCACCTTTGGGTGAGAGGGAGAGGAGTAATACCATTGTTTTTTTCTGTAAATATTTCACTGTGCAACTATAAAAGAGGACATTAAGAAAATATGATTACAATACCATATTATACCCAGAATAATTCATTGACGTCATGAAATATCTGGTTGGTTTTCAAATTTTCCCCATTTTCTCATAATTTTTCTTTACAATTTGATTATTTTGAAACAGAATCCAAATAAAGTCCAAACATTGTTATTGGTTGATATGTCTCATCAGTCTTTTTAATCCATATGTTCCACCTGCATCTCTTTTTTTCAGAGCTACAGAGTTTTTGCTTAACCTCATCGTCCTTACAGCTGCATCTCCTTTCTCCCACATTTAAAAACCTGGTTTTCAGTGACACCAACAAAATTATTCATTTGATTTATCCTAAAACACACATGTAGACATACACACACGTGTACCCCAGGCTCCAAATAATATACGTGCTCCTACCTAGGCAAGCTTTGAAATTCAGCTTTTACCTCCTAGTTCCATAGGCTGTTAAAGGTGCTGCGTTTCTTCTCTTTCTTTTGGAACTCACAAATGTCCTCAGAAGAAGCATGGTTGCAAAAGCCAGACTCAGCTCTTTATATGTTTATCTCCATTTTAAGATATCAGACTGGTAAATCTTTACCATCTTTGCTCTCTGATATCTTCAAGTAATGTTTTAAAATACTTTGTGCATCTTTTCTAGTTATTTTCAGTAGGAGGTTGATCTGAATTATCTAATTCACCATTATTGGAAGTGAAAGTCCCTTTACCAATTAAATTTTGAACACTTAACTTATGATACATTTATATAATATGACTATAATATTTGGTTCTATTTTAAAGGTTCTGAAGCACAAACGCCTGGATGATTGTCTGCGACATGTATCTGTAAGAAGATTTGACTCGTTTAATCTGTTCTCAGTAACAGAAGCCAAAAAAAGGGAAAGTGAAGAGGAGGTTGGTACGTGGGTTCAATATGCAAGTGTCTTCTATCCTGAATACAGTATCTCCTTAAGGTAACCATTATTCTAGTTAAGATTTTTTAAAACTAATTTTCTCTTATAGAATAAAATAACCTAATAAGATTCTAAGTATTCTTTCTATTGAGTTTGTAGGCCATCTTTATTAGAATTTAGGTTTTATAACTGTGTTAGGAAATCCTGATGTTTTAACTGGGAATTGTCCGACTAAAGAAAAAAAAATCCTCAGGAATACTCATGTAGCAACATTTAAGGATAAAGTGGACTGCAAATCCAAGGGCTCGTTTAACCATTTTCTCATAGCATTTGATTATGACAAAAAGCCAAGTTCTTTCTGAGGCAAAGAAGGCTGAAAGTGAAAACAGAATTTTTCTGAACTACTCTTCAAGTAGTAGTTATCTGAAAAATCAAGCTTTGGTATCTTTTCCATTCATGTTTTGTCACTTTCAGAATAGAATCTTAAGGATAGGAGGAGAAAATTTAGCTGAAAACACTGATACAGTGAGAAGCATACAGACTGTTCTAGCTTTAAAAATTATTAGAAAAGAGACAAGGGAGTTGCAAACTGAAGTAACAAGATACCACTTTTACTGAATTAATTTTATCTTAAGTTATATTCTAGCATGTTGCAGTATTACTGTGGGTGTTTGATTTTATAAAATCTGCCTTTTCTGACAGGATTTCACATTTTGAAAGGGAGGGAGAAGCACATTTACAGGAACTGCAAGAATAGCAAAAAACATTTTAAGTGGAAATGTGACTGAATAAGGTTTAGGTGAGGCTTGGAGTAATTTTAAGAAAAAAATTTCACAAAGGATGTCTATTTATATCTCAAACTATTTTAATTTAAAATATCTAAACTTTAAAAGATACCATAATGGCTGAAAGTTTGGGATTTGGATAAAATTTGACTAGGGTAGGCAGGGAAGAGCAGCTAGAATCTGGTTTCATTGAAAATGCCAAATAAAAGATACAAACTTAGGGATTTGTGAGCTTGCCTGTACGTTCATTATAAGATTCTAATTAGAATACCCCAATTGCCTTGCATTCTAATGACAATAATCAGGTTAGTACTTGATTAGGAGAGAAAGAAAAGTGCATTCAGTGCTTACTATGTGCCAGGTACAGAGCTAGGTGCTCTGATGTGTTCTATTTTATGTAATTCTTACAATACATCCATGAAGTAGGAAGGTGATTAAACAGTTGGAAGATAGTGGTGTAAGGAAATTAGAGAAGGAAAAAAAAAGTGATCCAGTAGGGGTCTTGAGGTATAAAGTTCCAAAACTTATCTTCTTCATCCACTGGGTGACAAGAGGCAATAAGTATAAATTACAGCAAGAATAATTTCCTGACATCTTGAAGGGCCTGGTAAGGATTAGCTAGGGAGAATGTGAAATCTTCTGTTCTTCAGATCTTTCAAAATATATATAGATGTAGCATTATCTGGAGCCCAGGCTACAGAGTAAACTGAGACTCCTCTCCAACAGTATGGTTCTTTGTGATATGTTCTTTGTGATACATTTAATTTTGAAAGAATAAATACAAGTATGTCTATATAAATATGACATTGAATCCTACGTTATGGAGAGAAGACAAACGACTGAGCTAAAATTTTGGCCTCAATGGCTGACCAGATTTTTTTCTCTGTTTGGAAACTAGTTAGTATCTGTCCACACTAGAAGTGCAAAAATAGCAATCATTTAAGTACACAGAATTCTAGAGGTGAATGTGATCTTAGGATAAATTTTTAAAAATTATAACTTTAATAATGGTTCATAATTGAGTGCCTACTATGTGGCAAGCACTGTTGTTTGTGCTTTCCATGTATTAGCTTATTTAATCCACACAACAACTTTATGAGGAAAATACTGTTATTATCATCATTTTACAGATGAGGAAAATGAAGCACAGAGAGATTAAATAACTTGGTTGAGGTCACACAGCTGGTAAGTGATTGTGCCTATATCCAAACCCAGGTGGTCTGATTCTACAGGCTGTACTTTATTTTGCAAGTAAGCCCATTTACAATAGTCACACAAAAAAATAATATACCTAGGTATCAATTTAATCAAGAAGGTGAAAGATCTCTGCAATGAGAACTATAAATCACTCCTGAAAGAAATTAAAGAAGGCACAAAAAGATGGAAAGATATTCCATGCTCTTGGATTGGAAGAATTAACATTGTGATAATGTCTATACTGCCCAAAGCAATCTACAGATTCAATGCAGTCCCCATCAAAATACCAATGACATTCTTCACATAAATGGAAAAAAACAATATTAACATTCATATGGAACAACAAAAGACCCCAAATAGCTAAAGCAATCCTGAGCAAAAAAATAAAGCTAGAGACATAACACTACCTGACTTCAAATTATACTACAAAGCAATAGTAACCAAAACAGCATGGTACTGGCATAAAAATAGACACTAAGACCAGTGGAGCAGAATTGAGAACCCAGAAATTTCCCCTCAGGCTTACCATCTGATATTGGACAAAGGCAACAAAAATCTACATTGGGGAAAAGACTGCCTCTTCAATAAGTGGTGCTAGGAAAATTGGATATCCATATGCAGAAGAATGAAACTAGAAATGCACCTCTCACCATGTACTGAAATCAACTCAAAGTGGATTAATGACTTAAGTATAAGACCTGAAACTGTAAAACTACTAAGGGAAAATATAGGTGAAACACTTCAGGAATTAGGTCTGGGCACAGAACATGAGTCTGAATTCACAAGCAACAAAAGAAAAAAAAAATAAACAAATGTGACTGTATCAGACTGAAAACCTGATTTCAGTCTGCACAGCAAATGAAACAATCAATAGAGTGAAATGACAGTCTACAGAGTGGGAGAAAATTTTTGCTAACAATGCATCTGACAAGGGATTAATATCCATAATATACATGGAACTCAAGCAATGACACAGTAAAAAAATAAATCACCCAATTAAAAAATGGGCAAAGGAGCTGAATAGACATCTTTCAAAGAAAACATACAAATGGCCAACAGATACATGAAAAAATGCTCAACATGACTAGTCATCAGGGAAATGCAAATTAAAACCACATTGAGGTATCACCTCACCCTAGTTAGACTGGCTACAATCAAAAAGATGGTGAATAGCAAATGCTGGTGAGAGTGTGGAGAGAAGGGAACATGTCTGCACTGTTGGTGGGACTGTAAATTAGTACAATCACTATGGAAAACAGCATGGAGGTTTCTTAAACAACTACAGATAGATCTTCCATACGGTCCAGCAATCCCACTCCTGGGTATATACCAAGAGGAATGGATATCATTATGTCAAAGGGATACTTTCACTCCCATGGTCATCGCAGCTCTGTTTACAATAGCCAAGATATGGAACAAACATAAATGTCCATCGATGGATGGGATTGGATAAAGAAACTGTGGTATATATACACTGTGGAATACTACTCTGCCATAAAAAAGAATGAAATTCCCCATTTGCAACAACATGGATGAGCCTGTAGAAACTTATGTTGAGTGAAATAAGCAAAGCACAGAGGGATAAATACCACATGTCCTCACTCATAAGTGAGAACTAAGAGAGAAAGGAAGGAAAGAAAGACCACAGTGGTGCATTGGACTTGCAGAGGGAGAGAACATACCTAGGGATACAATGTGGAGTAGGGGAAAGGCGGTGGGGAGGGAGATCGGGGATAATTGGGTGGGGGACATAGGGTACAATCGCAATTTGTAGTAATGGGAGTAGGGGAAAGGCGGGGGGGAGGGAGATTGGGGATAATTGGGTGGGGGACATAGGGTACAATCGCAATTTATAGTAATGGGCATGCTGCCAGTATGCATCTGGCCTTCACATCTTGGGCACGAGGGGTGACAATCAGCTTTGTATGAATATTCATAACCAATAAAAAAAAACAAAGAAACTTTATTTTGCAATAACAATAGACTCACAGGTAGTTGTAAAACCAGTATAGTGAGTTCCATGTACCCTTTACCCAGCTATCCCCATTGGTTTTACATTTTATATAACAATACATTTTATACATTTTATGTAAGTATAAGATGCCTGCACTTCTGTGCAATCATGTATCCATTCATTCATTTCACAGATGAGGAATTGAGGCCTGGCTAAGCTAATTTCCTCATTGATTATTCTGAGCATTCCATTTCTTCCTCTATACTCCTGTTGTGTTAAAGGAAATCATTGAAATTACTGAAATTGGTCAGGTAGAGGAGGATTTCTGCTAAGAATAGTTCATTCCTCTCCATTGCCAATTTTGTTCCCATTGATTTCTTCTTACATGTTTATCACTTTTGCTGTTTTCTGTTATATGCTCAATGTGGATCTCTGTTCTTGTTGCTTTAATATCTCATAGCAACTCTTTTCCCAACATATTTCCATACATTTCTTTAGCTAATTTTATCTGTTTTCTTTAGTACTTGTTGTTTATTTGTTTGTTTTTTAAATTAATCGCCGTAGCCAAAAGTAGTGGTTTAGAAAGTAGTTTCGAAATGAAGTGGAGTACTGTCATCTTCCTCTACATCTTTTAAGTTTGTTAAATCAATACTATGGATGATGAAAAAAAAGTGGTGGATAATTTTAAATAAATTCAAAGCCACTAGAGGGCAAAGGCAATAGAAAACATATGGGGTGATGCAGTGCAAAGCAGCATCATAAGAGGCTATTGAGAAGGCCGTTACAATCTCTTGAGGGAGGAATGCTTACCAATACATGTTATATGTGGGGGATTTGTTCTGGATTCTTTTTTGTTTGTTTTTGTCTTTTTTCATTTTTGCAGCTGGCTGGTAGGGGGATCCCAGCCTGTGATCTTGGTATTACAACACCTCACTTTAATTGACTGAGCTAAACGGCCAGCCCTTATTCTGGGTTCTAATAGAGGGCTGAGTATTTAGGATGTTACTGGTTCCTCACAGATTGTAAATACAAACCCCATTTTCACTTCCTCAGTTCTTATCACCTAAGATCATCTGCCAGAACTCAACAGAAATGACACATACAGGGTGATTAGTATTTGTTAT